AGCATATCAGTGAGGGGCTCTGCTCTCTGAATATCTCAGACAAGTCACCTCTACTCTCTGGGCTTCAGTCTTCTTTGTAAAATGGATTTGGGAATGGATTGATGGTCTCAGGCACACTCCAAAGACATTCCCAGCATTGCATTATAGGCTGGGGCTAGGGCTACGGGGTGGGGGGTGGATAGATGAGAAGATCTACTCCTGGAGGGTAAATCCTATGAATTGGGAACACATCCTGGAAACAGAAATTGGGACAGGAGATTCACTGGCACCCATAGGGACAAGTACAGAGTTGAGGCCAGGTTTATGATCAGAAGGCTAGGGGAGGGCCTGCTGACAGGGAGTGGTTGAAGGATGGGAGGGTCCAGGATGAAGCCCCAAGAGGAACAGGGTCTGGGGGTGGTTGGGGCATGTCTCATGGCATCAGGGCAGTGCAGGAAAAATGCATGAGGAAGCAAGATGCCACAGGTACCAGCAGGGCTGGAGGCTGGGTTCCTCAACCCACACCCAATGCTGGCCCTGGCTGGAGACTCCAGCTCTCAGTGCCCACCCAGTCCCCTATCATACATCCATGATTTGTTGTTGTTTTCTTCCTTTAGGAAAAATGGCTGGGAAGTTCTTCAGCAACAACTCTATTATGTCCAACCCCCTGGCGGGGCTGGTGATCGGGGTGCTGGTGACAGCCATTGTGCAGAGCTCAAGCACTTCCACGTCCATCATTGTCAGCATGGTGGCCTCCTCGTGTGAGTCCAGGTGTTTCCTTTTGCAGCTGGGAGCCCGAGATTTACTCTGAATGTGTCCAGACCTGATACCATTATCTTCTATCTTGTCCAACTATGATGTGTTCCACTCTGAACCACAGGCAGCCTCCTGCTTCTATTCCGTAGCTGAGTCTGAAAATAGACCCTGATGCTTGAGTTATCTAGAGCTGTGCTGTCCAGTCTGGCAGCCACTCTCCATATGTGGCTATTTAATCTTATTTAACCTTAATTGATTTTAATTTGAAATATAAAACCCAGCTGCTCAGTTGCACTAGCTGTATTTTAAGGGGTCAGTAGTCATACGTGGGTAGTGGCTGCCATATGGGATAGGGAAGACAGAGAATTTCCGTCTTTGCTTAGTGTTAAGAATAAAGATATCTACTTACATCACATGCTGGTTTGGGGGCAACAGAGTTTGGGTAGCTGGCATTCCAGACTTGAACCTGACTAATAGTTGAGACAGATTCCCTGAGTGGGGTCAGTTTGAACAAGTGAATTTCCTGCCCAAACCAGCATTTTAGTCAAAATTAACTAGTCTTTTCTGGGCCAAATTAGAAAAAGGTATTACTTCTTTAAAATACTTATATGTGCTGAAGCATTGTGGCAATGTGCTAATTTTGTTAGAAAAAGAAATCATACTACCAGGAATTTGTCATGTTTGTTGTTTGTTGATCTCCTTCAAGGTGGCCTTGTATCTGAGGAATTTGGAAAGACACTTTAAACTAGGGCTCCCAGAAGGGCTCCTTGGGGTCTGGATTCCCTGAAATTATGTGCTAGGAAATCATTTTGGTCCATGTTTTTATGTCTATGGTGAACCGCCACAGCTTTTATCAGATTCACTGAAAGCTGCAGAGCCTGAGGAGGTTAGGAGCTGCTGCTCTGCGGAGTTACTAGGCTGATGAGTTCAGCCTGCCTGGGGCACATCAGGAACGGGGCCGGGCTGCCTTCCTGAATTTGCTAACTGACTGTTTTCTACACTCCAGTGCTGACGGTGCGGGCTGCCATCCCCATTGTCATGGGAGCCAACATTGGGACCTCGATCACCAGCACCTTCGTGGCGCTCATGCAGGCAGGAGATCGGAATATATTCAGAAGGTAGGAGGCTCAGGGCCGGCCCTTGCCACCATCTGGCCCATTGGTTGGGCCAGGTTGGCATAACTACCGTTAGACAGCCAATGAGAATATGCTTGTCCTTCCTGGATCGCCCATTAGTGGCCACAGTGGGGTGCAGCTGCCGGTAGTGATCACATATGTAACCAGCCCCCTGATCTGCGGAGTAGGGATAATAATTTGCATCGTCACTGTGTTGTGTAAAGGAGCAAACATAATCGTACAGGTAAGTACTTAGCACGGTGCCTGGCACAGAGTCAGGGCTCCCTAAATGCAAGCCCTAGCTAGAAGCTTAACTGCTGCGTGGTGTAGTTAAAATAAGGCCAGCTAGGTTAGGATTTTCTGTCCAGCTCAGTCAGAAATAATTATAACCTGAAGCTTTCATTCCTGGCCAGCCCAACCCATGCCACCTTTTCTTTCCCCTTCACTTGCCTGCTAATGAAAGGCAAAATGTGGCTTTTGTGGATGTGTGAGATATGAAATGGGGCAGGTTGGAACCAGGCAGAGGGAATCTTTTTCTTCCAAAAGGTCAATGTGAAAATTAAGCCCATTACCCGGCTTCTCTAACAGGTGACAGACAGCTTTTTTGACTTGCTAAGGTAGAAAGGCACATTGTCCAGGGTGCTTACTAATCTGATCTTCTCAAGAAGCCAAGTGGGCTTTCCTACGCCCCATTTTAATAATGCAGAGATGCTGAGGGGCATGGCTGGGATTCAAGGTTTTTTTGTTTGTTCGTTTGTTTGTTTAATATGTCTTTATTGATTTCAGAGAGAGGAATGGAAAGGGAGAGAAAGATAGAAACATCAATGATGAGAGAGAGTCATTGATCCGCTGCCTCCTGCACGGCCCCTGCTGGGGATCGAGCCTGCAACTGGGGCATGTGCTCTGATTGGGAATCGAACCCTGATCTGTTGGATCACAGGTTGATGCTCAACTGCTTAGCCACATCAGCCAGGCTCGAGATTTTTTTATCCAGATTTTGGGTTCTTCTCACTGTTACACGAATTTTTGCCTCTGGATAACCTATGAAATATAAACATGTGATCTATGGAAGTGCCTGTGCATAGGAATGCAATTGGCCTTGCTCACCCCTGTTTGGAATATTTCAATAGATTGACCTTCCTAGACTGGTGCCCGCTTGCTTGTTGACTAATCTGGCTGCTGGCTTGTGGTTCCCTTCTGTAGGGCTTTTGCGGGGGCCACTGTCCACGACTTCTTCAACTGGCTCTCTGTGCTGGTGCTCCTGCCCCTGGAGGCCACCACCCATTACCTGGAGGTCCTGACCAACTTGGTGGTGGAGTCCTTCCATTTAAAAAATGAAGGCTCCCCAGCACTTCTGAAAGTTATCACGGATCCCCTAACAAAGCAAATCATACAGGTAACCTGACTTCCTTCTGAAAAGGAAAAGGGCTGACTCCCTACCCTTGCCCTTCACCGCACTCAGCCGGGGATGGACAGGAGTCTATAAACACGGCCTCTGAAAAACACCAGGGAAAGCAGAATGGCGCATAGAGTAATGGGCCTTTTTTGCTTCCTTGACTTCAACATGGGTGCCATGTTGGGGGAGGGGAGAGTGCTCTCAAGGTTCAGGCACTGCCCATTGGACACCTGGGGCCACTTTGTTCCCACTACTGACCTCAGCACCAGTGGGCTCACTGGTAAACTATTCTACTACTTCTAGCCAAAAAGAAAGGCTACTGTCCTTCCCTTCCATCTCACCCCTCTGGTCACCAGGGTCCATATTATTAAAGTGAAAGATGGTTTTGTGACTTTTGCCTTGGGGAGAAAGGGCTAGCATAGGCCTTGCCCTTCACGCTCACCTCTGGTTTTCTCTGTCTTTCAGTCATCCAGTGAATAGCTACATGCTTTCTAGGCACCAGCCCACTGTTCACACAATCATTTATTTTATTTATCATGCACTTTCTGGTGTCTGGGTGCTGGACTCCCCACTGTGAGTGCAGATGGGGTGAGACCCAGCTCACTTGTGCAGGGTCTCACAGTCTGTTCGCATCCTCTGAGCCCCTGTTTGCAGAAGCCCCTACATGTCCCTCTCACATCAGTTCTGAGCATGTGCTGACTCTTCTGACTATTACCTTCCTTAGCTGGATAGCAAGATTATCAGCCAAATTGCAGTGAATGATGCAACAGCTCACAACAAGAGTCTGGTCAAGATTTGGTGCAAAACTTTTACCAATGTGGTAAGTTTCTAAGAATACTGCTGGGTGGGTGGACTCCTTGNAAACTTTTACCAATGTGGTAAGTTTCTAAGAATACTTCTGTACTCTAAGCAAATTCTTTCAAAGTGGGCAAATTAAAAGTAAGGGAAAAGAAAAATTGGGGACTTCTGAAAAGTCAAAACTAGACAGTGAGAGTCCATAAAGAAATAAGTCCTTGAATGGACAGATGGAATGCAGTAGAATAGAGAGTACCTTTTGCCCCACCTCACCCCACACCACACCACAGGTACATTATTTCTTCTTGGCATTTTTTCATGTCTCTTGGCTTCTGACTACTTCTATTTCTATTTATGGAGGGACCCATGGAAGCAATTCATCGTGCTTACAGGTGTACACTGTCTTCCCTCCACCCCCCACTCAAATTGAGAGTCATGAATAATACATACCATTTCTCATGTTTGCCTTCCAGACTCAGATGAATTTCACCATCCCCTCGATTGAGAACTGCACCTCCCCCGCCCTCTGTTGGACAGATGGTCTCCATACCTGGACCATCAAGAACGTGACCCACCAGGAGAATATTGCCAAGTGTGAGTAGAACTCACAGCATCAGCCACTGGGATGGGCTGTCTGGGGTGATGGTGGCTAACAACCAAGATTCTGTCCTTACAAGACAGAAGGGATAAGCTGGGGAATAAATAACAGTCTGAGGCCTTGGGGGACCCCATGCCCTTCTGATAAGGACTTGCCATGATTTCTTCAGGCCAGCACATCTTTGTGAATTCCAACCTCCCGGACCTTTTTGTTGGCATCATCCTGCTGGTAACTTCCCTGCTGGTGCTCTGTGGCTGTCTGATCATGATCGTCAAGCTCCTGGCCTCTGTGCTCCAGGGGCAAGTAGCTGCTGTCATCAAGAAGACCATTAACACTGGTAGGTGCACCGCCCCCTACTCGGCGCTTTCTAGGGGATGGCATCACTGTTGGCACCTCAGGGGAGCTACTTTAGATTCTTATCTAACAGTGGCCTCTGCATGGGGTTTATCTTTGGATTTGAAAAGCTGCAGAAGTTAAGACACCATTCGCCCTTGAAATCTTTCTTGGTGTCTTGGGTGGGAGCTGCAAAACAAGAACAAGTTTCCATTGCATGTTTGCAAGGTCCTGAGAAAGAGTCAGCTCAAATCCAGAGAGCCGTGAAAGAGGCCTTCCTTCCCAGCAGGTTTCCTACCCTAGCTTGTGCAAACCCCACCCTCTGCTCCCAGGTCCTATAGAGGTGCCAGCTAGGCCCCCAATCCATGCCTTCCTAGAAGGGTTGTGACAGATCTCCTTTCGTTTTGCCTTCCAGATTTCCCTTTTCCCTTTGCCTGGCTGACTGGCTACCTGGCAATCATCGTGGGGGCAGGCATGACCTTCATCGTGCAGAGCAGCTCCGTGTTCACGTCTACTTTGACCCCACTGATTGGTGAGTGTCTCCCTGGCTTCTGCCTCTGACCACTGTTACCACCTCCTGTCATCCCCTGGGACTGTGTTATGGGCTTTGCATTTCCCCCCAGGTGTTGGCGTGGTAAGCATTGAGAGGGCGTATCCACTCACGCTGGGGGCCAACATTGGCACCACCACCACCGCCATCATGGCCGCCTTAGCCAGTCCGGGCAGTACCCTGAGGAGCTCACTCCAGGTCAGGAAATGTTGCATGGGGCAGGGGCTCTGGGGGTGGGATACAACTCAACCGGAGGTCTTGTAAGCAGATGGCTTCTAACAAGAGCCCAGCTTTGCTCTGTTAGCTCTAAAACTGTAATGTGGAGGCGAAACAACAGGGAGACAGATTTACACAGTCAAAGCCATCTACTCCTTAGAGAGGCAGTGAGACTCCCATCCCTGGCAGTTGTTTAAACAAAGGTGGGGTGGCCACTTGATAGAGGTGGAAAGAGAATTCAGGAAGCACAGACATCACTCCCACTCCTGCCTCCAGCCCCCTCTTGGGGAACTTGGCCTGGCATTAAGAACCAGGGGTCCTGCCTTGCCTGGATCAACTAGGTGACTTTGGGCAAGAAGACCTTTGGCATTTGAACCCTTGTCCCATCATTTACACACCAAGTGACCTTAGACAGGTGACCTAACCTTCAAACATTTGAAAATTGGAACCACAATCCCTTTCTCATTAGGATTATCNGGCAAGAAGACCTTTGGCATTTGAACCCTTGTCCCATCATTTACACACCAGGTGACCTTAGATAGGTGACCTAACCTTCAAACATTTGAAAAATTGGAACCACAATCCCTTTCTCATTAGGATTATTATAAAGATCTGAGGTTCTGTCTAAGGCCATGCTGTCCAATAGAAATGTAATTGAGTATAGAATATAAATTTGAAATTTTTAGGAGCCACATTTTTATAGTACAAAGAAACAGGNACTTTTATAGTACAAAGAAAAAGTAAGATCAATTTTAATGATGTATTAGTTAACCCATTACTATTTCAACATGTAAGCAGTATTTACATTGAATTGTTTTACAGTGTCTTTTGGATTAAGTCTTTGCTGCAGCCACATTCCAAGTGCTCAGTGGCCACCCTTGGCTAATGTATTAGACATGGCTGGTCCAGAGTCTCTAGCATGATGCCTGACACCCAGTGGGAGGACACAGAGCACTGTGTGGCCTCTGGAGCCCTGCAGGCTACCTGGGTTTGAAACCCACCTCTGCCTTCTTTCATCTGTTTGACTTTGGGAAAATAGCTTAACCACATGGTGCCTCAATTTTCTCTAATATCAAATGGGGACAGTCTTGACAGCCACCTCATAGGGTGTTGTTTGAGGACTGAAGTAATCCACATAAAGTGCCTAGAACAGTTGCTTCACCCATAGCAAACACTATAAACATCAACTGCTGATGCTATCACCATCCCTCCTTTCTCCCCTCCCTAGAATGGGGCATTGATCCTGAAGCCTTTCCTTCAGCCCCTCCAGCTCTTAACTGCTCAGCTGGAAACAGCAGGGCCAAGACACAGGCTAGCAGTGGGCACATTCATGAAATTCGTTGTTAGTTTGCCTAAAGGACTTCAGGCTCTGAAAACTGCTGTAATTCAACTGGTCACCCCCTCTCTCTACCTCCCCTCACCCCGAGACATGGCAGGCCCTCAGGCAATGCAGATCCTACCTAGGCTGAGCTGTGGAGACAAGGAGGACCCGTGACTCTGCTGCCAAAACCTGCTAGATGACGCCCCCTTCTCCCCACCACGCGACAGGCCGCTCACTTGTCCAACCTCTTGTGTTTCAGATTGCCCTGTGCCACTTTTTCTTCAACATCACAGGCATCTTTCTGTGGTACCCAATCCCATTTGCCCGCCTGCCCATCCGCCTGGCCAAGGGGCTGGGCAACATCGCAGCTAAGTACCGCTGGTTTGCCATCTTCTACCTGGTCGCCGTCTTCTTCATGGTCCCCTTGACAGTGTTTGGCCTCTCGCTGGCTGGGTGGCCGGTGCTGGTGGGCGTGGGGGTGCCCATCGTTCTCGTGATCCTCCTGGTGGTGGTGCTCAAGCTCCTCCAGTCCCTCTGCCCACGCATCCTGCCCAAGGCGTTCCAGACCTGGAACTTCCTGCCCTTGTGCATGCGCTCGCTGAAGCCCTGGGACATCGCCATCTCCCTGGCCACCGGCTGCTGCATGACAAAGTGCTGCTGCTGCTGCCGCGTCTGCTGCCGCATCTGCTGCATGCTCTGCTGCCCCAGGTGCTGCCGCTGCAGCAAGTGCTGCCGGGAGACGGAGGAGGAGCAGGAGGACGTCCGCATCAAGGCCCCCGAGGCCTTCCATAGCATCGCCGCGGTCGGAGAGACCCCCGACGGGTCCCCCAAGTCCCAAGGGGACGCCCTGAACACAGACGCCATCTCCAGAAGCACAGCCTTGTAGGGGCCGCCCCGAGGCGGGAGGAGGGGCCCCAGGCCCTGGTGCTCCCTGCTGTTCTGCACGCTGTCCCCCGCCTGCCGAGAAATGGCCCCAACATCAGCTCTGACTCTCATTCCCCTTTGCGCATGTGTCAGCTTGCACGGTTAGGTCCCCACCCCTGCTCCCGGGCCTTCCACTCCCAGGAAGGTGCAGAAAGAGAATCAGACGACGAAGCCTGGCTAGAAAAGGGATCCCACCCCTGCACGCGAATGGGTTGGCCGATAGGACTTATTTCAGACTTAAACCATCCCCTTCTGAAGTCCCAAGGGAAGAATTTATGGAAGGTTCTCAAAGATGCCCCCCACCCCCACCCCACACGTACGCATGCACGCGTGAGCGCTTTTCTTACTGTGATAAATTCTCCTTCACCAAAGACTGGCTTCAACCAGGAGCAGCTGCCTCTCGGGTGTCCTCTCTCCAGAGCAGCCCAGTTCAGGGGAAACAGACCTTGGAAAACAGTGCTCCCCAAATTCCCTGCCAAGTTTTCCTCCCTGGGCAGGTGGGGCTTGTCCAAGCATTTTACCTGCTGAGTCCTCGAATTTCCAGGGCGGGAGCTGCAGAGAGATTCAGGACGCACTTAGGCCCACCTGTGGCCTCATCTTCCTAAGAGGAGAGCGACCTTGTTACTGAACTGGGCAGATGGGGGGTGAGCGCCAGGCAATGGTGAGCACCGGGGGAGAGATGGTTTCTCTGCTAGAAGGGCCTGCGGCTCTTTATAATTCGGCTGTTATGGAAGCCGAATTGACGGTCATAGCTAAAGCCTAGTGCTACTCATGGTCAGATCTAAACCATCCCCACTGAGTCTTCTGGACTCTGGTTCCGNGCCGAATTGACGGTCATAGCTAAAGCCTAGTGCTACTCATGGTCAGATCTAAACCATCCCTGAGTCTTCTGGACTCTGGTTCCAAGTCCCCTCCACTGCCACCACCTTGAGCCCCAGGAAACACCAGGCTGGACTCCCACAGAACCACGATCAAGGGGCAGCAGGGTCCCTGTGTCTGTGGGTCCAAGGGTGTTCTCCTTCTTGCCCCAGATGCCTTCTGTGCCTTCTAGAGCCCCTTGTTGTATTTACCCCTTGGCCCCTCACACTCCTCACCTCCAGTTCTCCCTGAAGAGTGAGTTTCAACCTAGTCTGGGGGTGGGGGGTGCCATAATCGCTCCAGGACCCACCTTAACAGGTCAGGACACCGAACCGAGCCCCCTCCCCTGACCTTCCCCCGTGTAGATACTGATTCCCTAACAGCCATTTATACGCCATATTTATAATCGTGCACTGTACAGCGTTTTTATAAGTTAGGTAGTAAGTAGTGGCGCAGTTTGCTTTGGGCTCATTTGGGAATGTAAAGGAAAGAAAGAGCACCTGTGCTTTTGTAATGCTGGCTTTTCAACATGCCTCTGTTAGCCCGGCCCGTGCCTTCACTCTGTAAATACATAAGCTAAGCCTGGGCAGGGCTGTGGCCCTCTTTGCACTCTACAAACTGGATCCTTGTACCTGTGACGATTGTATTTTTTTGGTGACTGATTGTGGGAAGGGAGAAATAAAGACAATCAAACACAAAAAGAGTGTGTTGCTCTCAATTACAGGGAAATAAGGGCCTCCTGGGTCTATTTACTAAAACTTCGAGGTCATTTCCCTCAATGTTACTACTTACCACCAACGCCAGCTACATAATTTGTTGGTCCCCTTGGTCAAAACACAGGAGGAAAGTGCCATTACAGGCATTAAAAATATAAAGCTTTCCTTTCTTCCACCATCTCCACAGTCTCTCTATTTCTTTTTTTCTCCTTTTTTGATCAATCCCTCCAACCCTCCCCCCCC